TACCACATTTAATAGGACTATTAAAATGAATATAAATGAACATTTATTGTCAAATAATATCGTATATTTTCAGGTTAATTGTAACAAATCAGAGATCTTCTAGCATCAATGTTACATACTATTCCTTGTTATACTGAAGCATAAACATAGTTGATGTCTTGCTATTTTCTTATTTGATATGTGAAGATTAATATTAGGCTATGGGCAGTGGATACAGTGGTTTATATAAGCTAATTTGTTTTAACAAAGTGGTCTGAGTTGAAGAGAGGAAGACTTTAAACACTGGCAAGCATCTACATGAAAGAAAGTCATACTTTGACCAAAGTGCATTTGGTTCTTCTTCATTCATGAAAATAATACTGTAAGACTTCTGCTCTGTGGGATATTAAGGCCCTTTTCAACAGTTTAGTTCCGCAAATGTGATAGTAAAAAGGTTGGCATATCACATTGAATAATTCTATTGTGGTGTGGGAGAAAAAGATTTTGATGAAAAATGACATGATCTGTGACTTTGAGTTCTTTAGAAAGGTTTATTGGAAAGAGACCAAGAAGTGTCACTTGGCAAATAACATAGTTGCAAGCTAACAATGTGAGGGATCAAAGACAGACCACCAGGAGAAAAGTGCTAATTTCAAATATGTCACTGTCGCAATTGTCACACTCTCAGTCACATGATAGGGTTGGCTCTTCCAGACAGGGACAGTGATTCCTTAGAAGCCTTGAATGCTGAGAATGGTAACTGATTTGCAAAAGCAATTGTTGTGGGGCATTAAGAGCTCACATTTGAGGTCCAAGCACCTTTTATACCAAAACCCTGACTTTGAACGTAAAGCTGATTATTTTGAACCTCCCCAGCAGGGGTCACTAAGCTAATGACAAATACAAATTCTGTTACGATATGGAATCACTTGACAACATGAGGGAACATAATGTGTGATATCCAAAGGCCTGTTGGGAAAGCTTTGGAAGATAACATAAAATGTTCTTCAGTAATGACACTGTTTAGTGTAAAGTCAAAAATGTAAGAGTTGTACTTTAGTGAAATGTTTTTAGAGAGAGCAATAGTCCTCTTATCCACCCTATGAGTAAGTTTTGTGTCATAATTGAATTTTTCAAGTCTAAACAGAGAAGAGATCTAACAATGGATACTTCGTAATTTTCTACCACTGATTTTTCTTGGCTAGATATAACTTTAAAAATTTGAGTATAATAAAAGCAGTAACACTTGATTTAGACACATTCCGGTTTCACTTAGATTTGGTTACTTAAGCCAGTCTTCATTTACAGTGGTAATGGCTATTTCGTTTTAATAATTCTTTCTTTATGCTTCCACAATCTCTCTCCAACTCTGGAAATATATTAGTAAGAGTGAAAGGCTGAGCAACTTTTTAGCTGAAAATATGCTTTACTAGAAATCAGATCCAAATTAGTTTCTTAAAGTTAACAAACAAGTGATGAATAAAATGGATTGTGTCATATTATCAGGCAACAAGTTTAAGGTCTTTATCAGGGCCCAAGAAGGCTTATAGAATCTAGCCCAGACACCTTGGGCTCCTTGGCCACAATGCTGAAGACACTGACTCTTCAGTGTTTGAAAGAATGTACAGTCTGATTCCCTTGGAGCTTCTGGACTTGATCTGTCCTAAGGAAACAGGCTCCACCAGACATGTGCATGTGTAGTTTCTTTTTCCTCATTTAATCATCTCCCCTAGTTGTTACTTCCACAAAGACACCTTCCCTGACCACCAAAACTCAAAGCCCATTATTGTCACTCCCTACTTCCTTAAGGTACAAAGTTTAGGATTTAGTTGGTAATTATCATCTGTGGTCTTCTACCAGAAAAGTCAGACCCATGAAGTGGAGATCTTTCATGTATTTTGTTTTCTGCTAAAAGTTTAGCATCAGAAAGTTTCTCTCTGACTCTCTCTCTCTCTCTCTCTCTTTATATACATATATATTTTTTTCACATATGAGAAGCCATGTAATATTTAAGCTTGTGTATCTTAATTATCTTCTCAAGTTGTATCCATTCGCCTATGAATACCCCAAGTCTATCTTTCTTTATGGTAGAGTAATACTCCACTGTGTATAAATACCACACTGTCATTATTCATAGACCTGTGGATGTAAATATATGCTGTCCCGAAGTGCAGGTGTATAAAGTGTGCTGCTATAAACATGAGGATGCATGCTTCCTATAATAACTTCTGGGGGGAAGAAACCTAGGAAGGGGATAACTGGGTCAAAGGAAATTTCTAATTTTAGTTTTTTGAAAAAAATATCCTCACTGTTTTCCATAGGCTTGGTACTAGTTTATATTCTTTCCCCCAAACAATGTAAAAGGGTTCCTTATACCCCACATCCTCACCAGCATCAGGTAATATTTGATTTCTTCATGGTAGCCACTGTTTCTGGGGTAAGATGGTACCTTAATGCAAAATAGAAGATAGATAAATAGGAAGTAGAAACAAGTTCAAATAATTTCCCAAACTACATATGCCTTTGTTTCAAACATATTTTAATATATATGCTAGTTTGATTCACTTATATTACTAGCTTCTCTTAGTTCATTGTAAAGAAAGTTTTGAATGATTATCTGTTTGTTTCATCTTAGTAAGAGCCTTTTATTCTATGACTTATACTCTACATAACACTGCAGCCAGTTTTCAAGCTTTCATACACAGTATAGTAATTTTCATTATTCTTTATTTTTATATGAAATTTTGTTCTATTTTTTCAGAAGAAAGAAGAGTGATTTTGTATTTTCTTTATTAATATCTACTTGAGTTACATTAAAAATTAAAATATAATCATAGGGCGGGGGATTTAGCTCAGTGGCATAAGCGCCTGCCTTGCAAGCAGGCAGTCATGAGTTCGATCTCCGGTACCGATAAAAAGGAAAAAGACAACAACAACAACAACAACAACAAATATATATATATATATATATATATATATATATATATATAATCATACCTGACACACTAGTAACAAGTGAATATTTCCAAATAAATAAATGAACCAAAAAATAAGTACCCAATTTAGAAGGTAGCAAAAGGCAGATGACAAACAGACCATGACCACAAGTAGTTTTATGGAGCTGAAAAGATATGAGTTGAGCACACAATGGAGGTAACAGACGTAAAAATACCATATATAACAATATACTAACACAAATTTCATTATTCTGTATAACTATCGTGCATCAATGTAAAAGAGTTGAGCTTAAAACAGTTTTGCATATATTTCTACCTTATTTAAACTGAATCAATCAGCAATGACAGAAAGCTGAAGATGCCTTCATTTATAGGAATATAAACATTCACTAGAAGGTTCTGGCATTCAACCAGGCATAGGAAATACTTATTTTCACTAAAAGAAAAGGCTGGGTAGCTCATTGTTCTAAGCTCATAAAGAACTTCCTAGAATATTATATTCTTATTACATTCCATTATTTATACTTTCATCTCTAAATTCACAGCATAGACTAGCACATCCGACACTTTCAAGATGAGAAATCACTTTGTGAACTAACTGCACTTAATTAAAAAAATCTTTCCTTTTTCACTTATCACAAAAATGTAACCTGAGTGGATGTGAACATGCTTTCTTCGCTTACCTCCTGTCTGTGAGTCAGAGATTCAGTATCTAAAATCTCAGCTGCTTATTCTCTTTAGTTTCAAATTAAGTACTACTTTTTACTTCACTTTACATATGGTTGAAAATAAAAATAAGGTAGAAGCTATAGCCTCTGGAATTTTCAAATATATGAGACTGTCTGAAACTGAAGAATTTCACTTGTTCCCATTCTCTATTCAAACCCTAACCCAATAATAAATATTTAATTAATGCAAATATCCTATTTAACTTTCCAGTAAGTTGGCACCCTTATGCTTCCTTCCTGCTTTGATAGATTCATTCATTTTTTTCTACATGTTCAGAAAAGAAAAATAGTAGGAAAAATCAGGAGGTTAAAAAGACACCCCTTAATGAATGTGTTTAATAGCTGACATCTCTTCTTTCTTCTTGTTCGACTGAACTGGCACATACTCAGTGTGGCATTGTTCACTCTGAAGTGGTTTCCATTGTTTTTCAGGCTTCTACCAAGGCCTACTGACAGATGACCTATCAAATGCGTCTTCCTTTGTCTTCCAACCTCCCTACCACCCCTCATTTCTTCTCCTTCTTGTTTTGAAAAGGCACAATCTGCTCACCCTCTGGCTCTTCCTCCTCTCGGGGTAGCAGTTGGTAAGCCTGGGCCCCCCCCAAATCCAGGGGCTGTTATGCAGAGCGTGACTGGATCCCAATTATCCAAGGAGAAGTAGTGCATAAATTAGTAGATAGTGTTTCTAAAGCTGTCAGGGATAAATTGTTCTTATTTCCTGAAGCTGTCATAAGGAAGAAGGGAAATTCTAAGATGAGCTCTGACACCCCTGTTGCTTCTCAGAGACAAAGAGGTCTAAAAGTCTCCTGCCAGGCCCGAGTCAGGAATAGGCTTGCAAAATTCATAGTAGAGTTTTAGGAAATAAAATGGAATTGACGCTATCATTGGAAGGTAATGTGCAGGTCAAAATAGACAAAATAATATCTAAAAACAACAATAATCTTTTCACAAATCATGTGATGTGTGTATGCTTGGCCACTTGGAAGACACTGCAGCAGATACACCTGGCAGGAGCTCCTGCTAGTAGAGAACTAGACCAAGTCATCTCCTGTTATTGCTGAAGCTGTGTGAGCTCTGAGAACTTAAACCTGCACTTTGTTAAACCCTCCTAACAGGGAATGTCTGGGATTTGTCTTCTGTGCAAACAGAGATCTGCTATATTCTCTTCCCTGTCTTGGGACTCTAACTCTTGTCTTTGTCCCTCCTTCCCCTTTTGACATGCAGATTGTATAGAAAGACACATCATTTTTACAGGTTTCAATTATTTTTATATTGGATTACCCACCACACAACTACACATACAAATACCTACACACAATTGTGTAATTGTTTTAATAGGGGGAAGCATAAATGCAGCCCCCACTACCATAAATTAAGCACTCATGTTTCCCGCATTTGGGGAAATCTCAGAGGTCAGCATATCCCCATGCGATGGATGAGCCTCACCCTGGGAAAATCACCTCTGTGTTCATGGTATCTTCCCTGCCAGGTGAGTACCGAGTTACAATTTTAAAGACTTCTGTGAAAATACCTGGGAGTCATCTTTTTAAAAGTGTCCTCTTCTACATGATAGTTCTTCAAATTACACTTACAGCTCATTCTACAAATGAACTTCTGTAAAGTAAATCCTCCTAACAGGCAGGGGAAGTGATGTTATCATTTATACTAGTGAAGTGATAACAAGTTAGTACTTCCCACAGACAAATTAATTCTGTGCTTTCCAAATTTTGTGAAATTTTGTCAAAATACAAGGAGCTAAACTGAGGAAAAATACTGCTCACAAAAGATGAAAATAAAATCAGACCTTAAATTGTATTATACATATGATTGGCAGAAATACAACTCAAATACTTTTTCCTTTCTAAGTTTTTCTATTTAAATGATTATGTATCTGCTTTGTTCTATTTTAAAGTGAGTAAATTCAAAAACAAGCAGTTCCTTAAGAGAAGAAACTTTAATACTACTTTTGTTTACTTAAACCTGATATCAATCATTGTATTTCTTAGTGTCAGAACCCATATCAGGTTTTACATTTGAATTTTAGAAAAAGCTAAATCTATACTGCTATCCTACATGAATTAATGCTTCATATTCTTACATGGATGCTTTATCACATCATCGAATGTTAGAAAAGTTGATATAAATGAAACAAATACACACATATATGTGTATGCTGATGGTGAATTAATTCAAGTAATTAAACCTCTAAGAAACCAAGCATTTGATTGAAATTTATAACCTTTTGTTACCTCGGAATCTTAAATATGAGTCAGTTTCACAGACGGAAAGAAAACATTCTCCCCAGTTTGAACAAGAAAAGCTGTTCACTGTGTATGGTTCACATGAGAAATTACACTTTGACCTCCTTATGTTTGACTGGTTAAACTTGAAGTTTGTAGTCAAATATAATTACCAAAATACCACATAGGCATAAAATACTTTATCCCTACACTAGATATTACTCCATCACTGAGAATATGCAACTATTGTTTTTCAATAGATGGCACAAATCAGGCTGTGATTAAACAGTTACAATTCACTAACTTCTGGATGACATCCAAACTCTTCAAGCACATCTGCTCTGCACACCAGCAACATGTACAGCAAGTAGTGCAGTACAATCCACGTAACAATTTAAATATTTTATATAATTAATGATATGTAATTAAACGTAATGTAATTACATTTGGGTTCTCCGAGGTAACTATTTTACAATTAGTGTTTCATCAACAAATAGCTTTTCCAAAGCACAGCATAGTTCTTCTGACAGTAGCAAGCCATAGCCAGGAGTGTCCCTGTTAAAGTAAATAAATCATGGAGCAAAATCAAACATTCTAGCCCATCAGCCTTTGGTTTTTGATTATGATGGAAACAAGAAGCCACTCTGCTCTAAAACCACACATCAATCTAGATGTTTATAGGTTTGATTTCCCCATTGGGAAGGTCTAACCATGAGATGATCTTTCTGATAACTTTAAAGAAACAGTTAATTACCCCCAGAGGGCCCAAAAGGGAGAGACCTGGACTCTGCAGTCACGCCCCAGCAAGGCCCATGCAAGCAGCTACTGACCTGGCTCACTTTTTTTGGACGAGGAGACTATGGGGGCAGCATCTGAGACAGTGCTCTTCCGTGCTGAGATACCATTAGTACAACACCTGCACTGCATCGGCTGCCCAAAGCCATAATCCAGGCCCTGGCTCAGTTATTTGAATGGCCACACTGTACAGCATAATATTATCAACAGGATTTTAGTTTTGAGATATGCGGGCCACTGAGTTCATTTGTTGTATAGATATATGAGTTTAAAATACACCCTTTTATATAGATTTTATTGCTTTTAAAAAACTATAGTGAAAAAGTTTTTTCCTTAAAAAGAAGGCATAAAATGTAGCTCTCTTTCCCAGTTCTTCAGGTTCAGTGGTCTAAGACTCTATACCTTAGGCAGGAATCCAGATTTCCATTCAGCCCTTTTACTAGGAACAATTCTACCTTCTCTTGATTTTTCATATCCAGGAATAATTTTTTATTTGTTCCTTTTAGAATTGTTATACTAGCAGCAAACTATGACACATCTAAAGTAAATGTCAGATTAAATTTCCAGGCCATAATAATACAACAGGCATCTGGCAAAAACATGCTCAGATAAAATTTATAGTTTTGAGAGTGACTACTTTCAACTGTCACTGATTTTCCCTTATTTCTAAATCATGTTCTTGATTTTTGCATTTTCATTTTTTAAAAATTTACTTCCCTGAGGTGCCGGGGCTAGAACTCATGTCTTCATACACACAATGTAAGCACTACACCGAGCTACTGTGATGTCATCATGTTAAACATTTGAAAATGACTTTCCACTATAGAAACTGAGACTATAGCCTTCTCCTGCAACACAAACATACACTTCCCTTCTCCTCTCTCTCCATTTTGATGCAGCATATTTAATGAATTGTTAGTAGGACTATATTCATTGAACAGTTACACAGCATATGATGATAAATGATGAAACACCTTTCTCTATGAAAATTTTTATTTAACTTAGTATTACTTTTTAGCCACTTTCTTGTCAATCAATATAATTATTAGTAATTAACAACTCAAAATGACCTACTGAGCACTTTCCCAAAACAGATGAACACCTGAGGTTCCTTTTAGCAGCATAACTTTCCTCTTACAGTTACTACCATCCTGCCCCAGGCTCAGTGACTGCTGATCAATGGCTTCTCTGGAAGCTTGTCTTTCTGCACCAACCTGCAGGCTCCCTTTGCTTCTTTCCTACAGAGGACCCACCTTTCCTGGCCTTTGAGTCTTCCTCTTTATTGGGTCTCTGCTGTTTTAATAGAACCATATTCTCATGTAAAGGGTTATCTAGGAGATAAAATTTGGGAATCTTCAGTTTATAGATAGAATACTCATTTAAAATTTGGCTGCAGGTGGAATCCTATTTTGAAAATCATTTCTTCTGATATAGTGGATACCTTGGTTCATTGCCTTTGTGTCTTTAATGTGGCTATGGAAAAGTGTGCATCCTCCCCGAGTCTTTATTCTTTGGACTTAAATGATAGAGTTGGAATGCCATGTCTCCCCAAAATTCATGCATGGAAATTCTGGCTCCCAAGGTGGTAAAATTAGAAGGTGAGGCCTGTGGATGATGGCTAGATCATGGGACACTACTCTCATGAAGAGGGGTAGTGTCCTGGAGAAAGAGATTCCATAGAGCTGACTTGCCAGTCTCTCAGCCAAAAATCAAGAGGTCAACAAAATCTGTAGAAGCTGCTAGTACTTTAGTTTTGTACCTTCCAAGCTTAAGGACTGTGAGAAATCCATTTATAATGTTCATGAGTCACCCAATATAGTATACGGTATTTTGTGATGGCAGGCAGAATGGTCTAACACAGTAAATTTCCTTCCCTTCTTTCCTTCCTTCTTTCCTTCCTTTCTTCCTTCCTTCCTTCCTTCCTTCCTTCCTTCCTTCCTTCCTTCCTTCCTTATTTCCTTCCTTCCTTCCTTCCTTCCTTCCTTCCTTTCCTTCCTTCCATCCTTTCCTTTTCCCTTTCCCTTCCTCCTTCCCTTCCTTGGCATGTTAATCCCCACCATATTATTCTTAAAGTCCTCAAATATTATCACATCCCTTGGGGTAAATATTTTTCTTTATTGTGCTGGGAACGCAGCATGCTGGGCCTTTTCAGTCTGAAAACTCAAATACTTCTCCATGTTTTTTTCATTATTTCCTCCTCTCTGCTTTCTGGTGTTGTGTGTCAAGAACTATTATTACTCAGATGTTAAATCTCTTTGAACAATGGTTCTCAAGGTCCACTGCATAGTCCAGCAGTGTCAGGGAGATATGGGAGATTGCTGGAAATGTGCATTCAGGGGTGAACCACACACCTGACCTTCTGAATCTGAACACTTGGCATTGGGACCTAGAAATCTGTGTTTCAATCAGTCCTGTGTTTCTGATGCAACAAAAATTAGAAAATCTTATTTTAGAATGATTCTATAATTTTCTGTTTATATTTCATATTTTCTTTTTATCTGCTGCAAGATATCCTCAATATTATCCTTAAATCATTCTTTTGTATTTTACATTTTTAAAAACTTCCAGTTATTAATTTCTAAGCATTTTTTCTTACTCTTTGTATGTTTCTGTTCTTATCTTATAATCATTGGTTCTTATTTTATGATTGCTGAATTTTTTTAATCTGTCATAATATTAATTTAGTTGGGGATATAGCTCAGCAGCATAGTGCCTGCCTGGCAAGCACAACGTCATTAAGTTTGATTCCTGGTATCAAAATAAAACAATATTAATTGAGGATTTGTTCCGTTGATTTTAAGATTTCTTCCACATTCAGTGCAGTTCTCTTATCTTGAATTCTTTTATATGTTTTTATTTTGCTCCCTCTATTATCCCTGAAGATTTTAAAGGTATCTGGAATCCTTAGATGTTCATACTTGTCTTAAATAGAAGAAATAAAATGCTCCCAAACAGTATGCTTGCACAAGTGGAGTTTATAGGTATTCCTCTAGTTATCTGTCAGCATATACTGTGTTATTTCCTTTTCCTCTCCCTTTTGTAATGCTTTATTGCAAAAGTGTTGGCATGAACTTCTAAGATAACAATATGTAATATATTAACCAGTATTATTTTTCTACTATGTTTTTTTTGAAATTTTGCATTATTTGTACCCTTTTTTTTTCTGTTTTGCTTTTTAAAATAATAAAACAAAGTGCTGGAATTGTAGAGAAGGGCTGGGAGGAAAGGTATCAGCTTCCAGTTAGAAACATGTTCATTTTGAGGGGAGAAGGGAGAAGGTAGCCTACAATGATTGATTCTCACCTGTGCTAACACATCTGTGAAAATACTGTTACACTCATGGAAAAAAAGAGAATGTTGTTCCCTCAGTTCTAATGAATGACAAGCGATAGAAATAAAGATCTATAATTTAACAGTTAATGAACACGGGAAACACTGATTTGTTTTCTTTGATTTGTTATT